ACACCCTCCCTACTCAGTCGCTGCGGTCTTCATGGTTGACACACGTGGGCTCTCCCATTCTTTGTTTCGCTAGATCACTAACAAGTTTCTCAACTGGCGAAGTTTTACATATGTATAATTGGCTTAGGCACTGTGCGCAGCAGCAGCAATATTCCGCTATAACCGACTCGCATGTTTGTCTGATTGCGCTATAGCAGTATTTTATTTACAAAAGAGAAAAAAAACGGGGTTTAGAATAGTGTCTTTATAACAGACCTCTCGTTTTTTCCGGACTCATTATAAGTGGACTCCACTGTAGTTCTATACACTCATTTGCAGCTCAGCGTCCTATGGAGTCCAATCTCTTGTAAGTGCTTAAAAATGTTTGTGCTTACAAAACTTTAAAAGAAACGATCAGGATCGTAACGGTCGATCATTTGCACTGCGTCGTTGTACTTTGTTTGAACTTGCTTTTGTATCCAAATTGCCGTTGGCCTTAGACCTCTTAGTTTTCTTCTTCTGCTCAGTTTATGTAGTGTATCAGAATCAATCTGGGCGGAAGAAGGGTGCTGCACAACGCAGACAACCGAACCGAGTAGTTTAGCAAGTTGCAAGGGAAATAATGCGAGTCGGCAGGCTGCTGTCGTGCGGTCGTGTTGCCACCATGACTGACAAAGGGGGAATCCCTTACAATGACATCAAACAAGATGGCTGTTACTATAATTATCGGCCACAATGGCTTTTCGTTGTCGTTGTCTAGCTATCTGCTTCTTGTGAGTGCTACAGTCACTGCCTAGTGTGGTGGTGACCCCATCATCAGACTAGATCTAGTCCTTTCTTAGGAAGAATGAAGGGCTGATTGTTCATTTCGTCAGAAGCATTTTTTAATCATGTTTGGCCTATTAGATGAAAGGGTGTGCTTTTACTTCACTTTTTATTACTATGGAAGAGGCTAGCTGTACTTAATGACGGCTAGACCGCTAGGTTAGCTGTACTTAATAATGATGGCTAGACTGCCGAACAGCAAAAAATAGGCCTACTGAATTGCAAATAAGTTTTTAGTTTGCAATACCTAAAGTATTTGTGTCACGACGTGGTAGAATCAGGCGATTGTCAATTTTTGGGCATATCATAATTTATGACAAAACGTAATGGAGTCACTAAGGTGGCCGTCTTAGACAGGTGTTATTGTTTGGTGTTGTAGGGGTTGTGTGTTAAAATATGGTTGCCGTGCCCGTTATATACAGTTAAATTATATATATGGAAAAAACGAACGCAAGGGGAAATGGAAAGTGGCCATTTGTACAGGTGGCAGTCTTATAGATGTGGCCTTCATGGCAGGTTCGACTGTAGTTCTACCATTTTGTAACAGTGTGTTTAAAGGGTTTTCGTAGATATGACTTTTAATTAATAAAAATGTCTTATTTGAATTATAATATTATTTTGAGGGAAGGGTATTAAAATCTTCATTTAAAAAGTGCTAAAATCTATTTTTGAAGCATATTTTCTCTTCCCCACTATGTTTACCATTGAATTCTAATCATGATATGGATGTCAACTGAATGCCAAATTGGAAATGGATTTTCCAGAAAAGAATAAATACAGTAAAAAAAATGTGAATCATCGTTTTTTTTCAAGTTTGTTAAACTTAAAAACTCATTTTCTCAAAATTATACTTCATACCCTACCTCGCCAAATGTGCAATATTTCTAAAACCACTTTTGAAAATCCTGGGGTTCAGCATTGATTATCCTAAAGAACAGCCCGTAACTCAAAATGGTCAAAATCCGACTTGTTGTACCTTTCTTCAGGCACACACCCAAATGTAAACCCAAAGAATTTTTCAAGTTACACTTTTGAGTGTGCCTTTGAAACAAGTTGTTGCACATTTGCTTGTAAATGCAGAGTTTATAAATTATTCTAATAATTTTGTATTTGCATAAAAAGACTGGTAGTTTGAAATAGAAAGATGGAGCCCAAAAGAATGAAAATCAGATGTAGTCCAATCTTTAGCTCTCAGTGTGTCAGAATCATCTTGACATTAATTATTATGCACCTTATTTTAATGACCTGTTGCTCCAGACCATGCTTGTGTATACACAGTCAGTTAGTGTAGGCGAGTACAACATTCTTGAATACCTTCCAAAGGATTAACTGGGGATCAATGTTTCTTTCAAAATACTCCATGGCTAATCCATGATATGAATCTCAGTTCATGACAAAGGCAGCTTGTTTTATTCTCTGCCTCAGTGTAATTATCACCAAGTAATTCACTGTTTGGAGATGGTTATCATGTATGTTGTGGTCATCACTACTGACATTTTGATTTCAAAATCTATAATTTGAAGATGCCTTTTTACACAGCAAACGTTTTTAACTTCTGAGGTAGAATTTCAGTAAATGTGACATTACAAATCACATTGTTTGGACCTGTCTGTAGTGTTATGATTTAGAAATGTAATCTTAAATGGAAGAAATTGATTTGAGGTGTGTGGAAGTTGGATTTAAGGAAGATGGAAATTAGATTCAGGACCTGATTTTGATGTTAAAAAACGAAACTGTGGCCCTCAGCTTTGTGTAAAGTATGATGTGTTTTTAGATTTGCTTATTTTTTTATTACTGGAAGGTTACATGTTTTCAGATTTAAGTAGTCTGGTTATCAAAATAATTGCAAGCTTTCTGAATTTGAATGTCTATTGTCCTGAGGTTGATTGCCATGAGCCAATTCTGGTACTGGCTGTTGTTTTCCCAAAACCTCTTAGCACATGACATGCTTCATTGGTTTCTCACATTCACAGGCTGGAACGAATGTTTCCTCGCTGTCTGCCACATTTCTTGTATTTGGCTTGAGAGGATTAGCTCTGTAGTGTATAAATACATGTACATTCCTGGGTGGGAATTCAGTGTAGGAAATTACCTTGACTTAGGTGTTGCACTTGCCCACTGGGTTAATCCTTTTTGTGAAGATAACAGTAGTAGTTTGAGTGCAGCAATGTTACGATTGTATTACTCTGGTCTCTGCTCATTGCAGCTCAGTGCAGCTATGTTTAAAATGTTTAGAGTCAAAGTCTCTGTCACCTGATTCACAAGTTCTTGAAATTTTATAGTATGTTTTATATTATATCTCTTATTTTTCTAAATTAATGCAATTCAAATTGTTGTTTTATTTTTTTTTTTAAATTGCTGTATGTTGTAATGGGAAAATATGTTGGAAAAGGAGGGAATGATGCTAGGGAAATGTGAAAGCAGTGAACCTAGAACGAATAATCAAGTGTCTGATGTGAAAGAAAAGGTGTCTGACAAATTAATAAAGTGGTCAGAGATGCTATGTCTGAATATTTTTAAAGGGTGGAGGATGTGAGAAAGAAACAAAAGATTGAGGCACTGTTTATGATTGTTGATTGTTATAGATGATACTTTTTATTTTAATTAATAGTAACAGGGATAATGATAAAAACAATGATGGTAATTAAAGTAATAGAATAATGAACAAGTTTGTCTATAAAGTTTTTTAAAGCCTTATGAAAACAGTCTTGTATTGCTCAGTCATGATATGGTTAAAAGTTGTATTATTGTACCGGCAAAAACAAGACCGATCATAGAGGGATAGATTATAGATTACTGCACACAAGTACAAGCACTCATTTCCCTTTCTAGCCCTGTCTCACCCACTTTTTTCCAGGGGCTACGTTAGCTTAGATGGTATCATGGTGGACTACAGGTCAGATCGCCCTGGTTCTAATCCTGATAGGGCGTTCTTGAAGCTAGGTTGTCTTGGGGAGTTTTTAATCAAATGGATGTTAAAATTTGAAGAACCCACCTCATAAATAACATTACAGTGCTAAAAGGAGCATTAAATCTGTATATAGTAACATTTTCTTTGTTCTCTGTCTCTGTCTTTGTCTCTCTCTCTCTCTTTCTCTCTCTCTCTCTTTCTCTCTCTCTCTCTCTCTCTC